CCCAACCCTGCACCCAAGCAGTACTGCAGATGATTCTTCTGGAAGCTTCAATAAGGAAAATGGCTACTGTTTATCACCTCAATCTTTTTTTTTTTTTTTTGTAGTTGGACATAATACCTTTATTTTACTCATTTATTTTTATGTAGTGTTGAGAATCGAACCCAGGGCCTCACACGCACTAGGCGAGCGCTCTACCACTGAGCCATCAACTCAATCTTTAGTTCCTCTTCCCTCCCTGTAGATGCAAGGGTGGACCAAAAGTTCCAACTCTAAATCATGATTTGATCCCCTGGAAAACAGACCCCTCTAGCCCATCTATGGGTCCCAAGTACCAGTCATCCCATTAGCATAGAAATGGCAGTCTTATCCCTCTGGGGAGTCCAAGGATTTGGGGAGCTATATGCCAGGAAACGTGCTAGAAGACCTAATATGGTCACCACCTCAAAAGCCCAGAGGAAAGAACCTGGCTCAAAGAAGGTGGCAGGTTCACGAGGTAGGGCAGAGAGTAGGGAATTCATTCCAGTCATGGCTCAGAGTTTACTGGTCTCTTCTGTCCCAGGCCCTGTGTCTCATGGCCTGGTGGGGAAGGCAGACCAGGAAGCAGGTGCTGTGGAGGAGGTGGGACATGGGAGCAGGTAGGAGGGCTTGAAACCTGGGTTGGGAGAGTGGGACAAGGGGAAGGCTGCCTAGAGGAGGTGACCCCTAAGCCATGCTGCTGAAGGCATTAGACCCTAAACCCAAGCCTTTTCTGTGAAGGGCCACATAGTAACTATGTGCCAACTTTGGATTCCAACAGTGGTTCTTAAACTTGGGTGTCTCAGCCTCACTAGAGGGAACTTTTCTGTCTGGTGTGATGGCATCCAGAGCCCGTAAATGGACTTATACTGTACATGTTCTGCCACTTGTCGATTTCACTCAGCAGTAGATCATGGACACCTTTCCATGTCAGTGTGGCCTCACTCTCTAATGGCTGCAGAGATACTCCTGCATTGGCTAGAGGCGCTGGAACTGACTTCACCCGTTCCACTCTTGGATGCTTCAGATAGCACCCTGTGGTAACCAAAGCCATGGTGATATCCCTGTATGGAAGTCTGTTCATACATGTGCCTTTCTCTAAGATAAATTCCTAGAAGTGAAACTAGTGAATCAAAGGCTATAAACATTAACAGTGTGGTATATCGACATAATGAACTTGCTGTCTCGTGAGGGAACCATTTATAATCAGCTAATCAGCAAGTCTCAGCGCTACCTGGAAAATTCATTTCTTGGGCCAAGGACAGGATACTTTTCTCTCCCTCTTGCAAATTACTGACATTACAAATCTTACAAAGTGCTAATTTTGTATTCTTGCAATATTACAGCAATATTTTAATGTTGATTTTCTTCTTCTTTCTTTCCTTCAGGGCTGGGGACGGAATCCAGTCTAGCACATGCTTGGGAAGTGCTCCACCGCTGTTATATCCCCAGCCCCAATTCTTTTTGTGTGCATCTGTATTTTTTCCTTCCTTTCCTCATTTTTCATTTTGGTGTGTGTCTTCATGTTGCTGCCTTGTAAGAGTTGTTTTTGTTTGTTTTCAAGAAAAGGGATTGAATCCAGAAGTCTGCTACTGGTGAGCTACATTCCCAAATACCCCCTTTTTTTTTGAGACAGTATGTCCCCAAGTTTCTGAGTCTGACCTGGAATCAAATTTTCAAAACTCATTCCTCAGTCTCCTAAATTGCTGAAATTATAGGCATACTCTACAATACCTGGCTTTAAGAGCTTGGTGGTGTTTTCCTAAAAAAAAAGGAAAAAAAAGAAAAGAAAAAATGATTGCTAATCCCTCATATAGGCATATCTATTAATTTAGAAATTATCCATGTTCTACTTTAATCATTTTTTTAAAAATCGTTTCTCTTTCCACATTTTTTTTAATTTCATTTTTTTTTGTTGTTGTAGATGGACAGCATCTAAAAAAAGACAGCATCTTTTTTTAATGTGGTGCTGAGGATCAAACCCAGTGACTCACACATGCTAGGCAAGTGCTCTGCCACTGAGCTACAGCCCCAGACTCTCTTTCTACATTTCTTACTATTACATTATAGTTGGAAAGAGTTATTTTGGTTTGGGGATACTGGGGATTGAACTCAGGGGCATTTGGCCACTGAGCCATATTACCAGCCCTATTCTGTATTTAGAGACAGGGTCTCACTGATTTGCTTATCGTCTTGCTTTTGCTGAGGCTGGTTTGGAACGTGCGATCCTCCTGCCTCAGCTTCCCAAGCTGCTGAGATTACAGGAATGTGCCACTGTGCCCAGCTATAGTTATTAAATCTCTATACCTCTTTTTCATAGGTTGCAATGATTTTTTCTTGTCTAACTTTGCTCATGGTGTCACCTATTATATTGGACACTGTCCTTTTGAGTACTTGCACATGGATAACTGGTTTCTTGGGTTCTAGACCAGGTTTCAGTCCCTCAAACTGAGTGTTTTACACAACTCCTCAGCACACAAACATATTATCTGATCTTCTTCTGCTACATGGAGCTTCAAAAGACACAACATAAAGCCCTACCCCTCTGCCTCATCTGTTTGTGACTGCAGCCAGCT